GGTCAACTTTGAAAATTCCCCTGAATCTCATAAACCACCTAGGTCGATTAAAAGAAAACGCCAACAGAACTTTCAAAACCCAGCTGGGGTTTTACTCGGCTATGGTGATACTATCAACCCATACTAGCCGTTTCTCTGACCTATGACTAGTGTTGCACTGTGTATGCTTAGTAGTCATATTTCTTGGTATCAAACATAGGTTCTGACATAGTCTGATCTCGTTGATCCTGACCCCTGCTGGCAAAATTTGACCCCCAACGATTTTTGCAAAAGTGAGGACCTTTTTTTTGCTCCTCAATTTTGCTGCGAAGGGAACATTAACACTAGATTTTCGGACTTATTTTTGCAAAAGTGAGGACCTTTTTTTTTAGGTCTTCACTTCTTTCCGAAACCGATTTTACACTAGATACAATTGATTTTTTTGACCCCATCATGAATTGGTTTGACCCCCCTGAAATGTTTAGTGTCAGAACCTATGGTATCAAATGATAACTTAACACTCTCCCTATTTGATAGCATGTCAACATCAGGTCGTAATTTTATTAACATTATTTGTGTTTTGATACATTTTCTTAATGTATCGCCGATATGCACCAATTAAACAAATTGTAATTTTTACTACTTCTAATCCAATACATATATGTAATCGAGTGCCAAAATCGAGTGTTGAACGAAACGTCAAGCTATCAACGCTACAGTTGTATTAGTGTATACGAATGTGTTTTGACATTTCGGGCAATACAATCAGGCAATGACAACAAATACGATTCCACAGTATCATGTTTTGCAGTGAATCAAATGTACACAATTGATACGATTTTTTAGACTCCAAGTGATTAATCAATTAAAACCATAAACATCAATTAGGATAGTGTAGTGCAATTGTTAATAATGGAGCGTCTGATGGCGGTGACAACATTCCAAAAAGCGATTGATTCGCTCAAAACAACGGAATGCAGGTTATAATGCGATGAATCATTCAAAGACGAACACATTACAAATTGATACATTCACTAGTGAATTAAAATGACCAAATATGATTTATTGAAATAATCTTGAAAATATTCTTTCCCTCTCATTGTGTGACAGTCAAAAGGAGAAACTAGCATTGTTTGCGCAAATCTCGGATTGTATACAATCGCCAGCCCTACGTGGAAATGTAAATTATTTGAGTCTTATTAGCAATGCCGTTTCCATTTTGTTAATGTTTTGTGAAGACATCGACTCGGTTGTTCGTATGAGGTATTTATTTTCGTTATCAATCAAATGCACCTGAACGCCTGAACAACTGTTTGCTCTATTTCTCGATTTTTCAGTGCTGAAGAAAATCTAAATCGAATCATTCGATTTTCAACGCCATCAAATGTTGTTCAATTCCAATACGATCTCTTCCAAGAGATAAAATGCAATGGCAACGACCGGTCGCTAGGGATTGCTTTAAATCTCTTTGGCCATTACGCCCACATGATAAAACAGCGTAAAGTGAAACCGTACGCTCTCAATCTGCTGCCGTGCATTCTGTCCATTTCACAGCGAAAAGAACAACAGCTCATCGAAACCTTATCGCATTTTCTGGAGAAATTCTGCACATATTTTCATATCAGTCTCACCGAAAATGAAGTTTCAAATTTGATTGAGGTCGACCAGTTCAGTTTGTTTTTTCACGAAAAATATCCGAAAATAACCATTTTTTCCTTACTTTTGCCTAAACAGTTCTTCCTAAAGGATGCTATCAATTCCGAGTGTGCAGTGAAAGTTGCGGAAGTTATGTCGAAATATGCCTTAACACTATGTCTCGGTAAATATGGATGCATTTTCAAACAATTTCGTGAAATTCTCATTCTATCCGTTTCTTTTCATAATTTTCTAGATAATCTTGTAAAAGTCTTTACATTGAACACAATTGTGGGTGCACTGGGTCTATTTCGTGTTTTATTGCCGAAAATTTTATCATTCGATTCGCTAGAACTGTGTGTCGTTCACAAGATAATTGAAATCTATGAGATTTGCTTGCATTGGCTGGGTGACAGTATACTACTAAAGAAATCAGACGTGGATGTGCTATCGAGCACGGTGAAGGACCTGGATTATAGTGAATCAGATGCATCGAATGTTTTGGACTATGTGACTGCACACAATGCATCACTGGATGACAAGGGCTTACTCACCGGTAGTGACATAGAGCTAGATTCTTTGTGTCTGAATGACTTTGAGCTGTGCCAAAGCAACGAATCACTTGTACAATTTTCGGAGACAAATTCACCGGCCATCAAAAAAACGGCACAAGATACCCATCCGCTGAAGAGTCAAAAGTCGACCGATTCAATTGGATCGTTTTCGAACACACTGCAGTGCATGATGCATCCGAATACAGGTACGATATTTCTTTTCTATGAAAATTGAACATTTCCGTTTGAAATCCGGAATTCATTTGAAAAACAAATTTCTTATTCCAACAGAATCGGTAACGAAATTCTTCCGGGTTGGTTCACTTGGCCAACAGTCCGATACACCAGTTTCATGTTTGGACGACGATTTAAATCAAACCGACACAAATATGTCCGAAATGTCAGACGGTAGCATGTTGTCATTGAACTCGTCTGCATTGGGCACATTTGATATGCTCAACAAAACCGATGACTCAATACCCGAAATTGAAATACTGAACGATCAAGAAATAGCCACAATTCGACTTGAAGCCGATGAAGTAAATCAAGAGAAAATCGATGAAGTGGATCAAACGGTGGACGCTTCTTCGGCTACTCATTTCGAAACCATTGACCGTGAAATACTTATTGGCAACATTGCGAATCAACCGTTAATCTACTACACGGTACGTTTGATTGCATCGAAATTTCTACTAATCGGAGTACCGTATAAGCTAAATGACGACTGTGATGTTCGAGTGTCGATAAAAAACTTGTCTCTGGCTGTGATTTGTCATTGCATCGCATTATGCCCACAAACACTGTTGCTTTCACTTCAGTACAGTGGACCGGATTTAACATTTGAACATGACTCTGATAGTGAATCGGAATGCTCAGATAAGGAGTCACCATCGAAAACAAAACCAAACAATGAACCAGCGGATCAACTGAATATCAAGGATGACCATTTCGGAGAGAATAGCAAAGTGCCAAACATATATTTTGACTTCTTCTTTCCGCTTAGTAAAAGTGCCGATAATGTGCTTCTATCGCGACTCAACTCGGATAACATCGGCGGAGAAAATGCACGATGGACACAGAAGCTAATCGGTGACCTGTCGGATTGGCTATCAAAATCCGATATTTTGGATTCAAAGCCGTCGTACAGAGACTTTTATGTGACGGCAGACACAAGCTCAAATTTAAATGACAAATCCCTAAGCAACCAAGCACTCATTCAATCAATAACTGATGGATTACTGCAATTCATTGAAGACGTTCTACTCTATTGGAACCATACCGACCCCGTTCTCAGAGCCAACATACAATTATTGACCGGGAATTTTCTGTGACAACCATTAACTACGATGCTCTTGGAGACATCTTCGGACAAGTCAAGGGTCAGGTGTATAAGGTAAGACAGTAGAACAATTGTTGGAACATTCAAAATACTTGATATGGATATTTTGTTTACATTTGCAGAATTGATTTGTATCACACATGTATGCAATGCTAGGAGATTCTGATGCACGCATTCGCAACGAGGCAGCTGCTGCCATCTTTGAGTTCAACACATTACAATCGATGCGAAAAAGCAATATAGCACATAAATATTCGGAAAATTATCTAACAATTAAATTCGTTGCTGATACACTTTGGGACGAAGTACCAATTTCATTGGACAAGGATTAATCCTTATGGTATTTTGGCTGGATTTCAACCAGCATTGCAATGCACCGACTCGAAACTCAAACACGACGACGAAGCGATGCGATTCGACGTGTGTGATGCACATCAAAACTACCTGCAGACAGGAAAAAAAGAAGAAACAATTTTTGGCCCTAAAAATACTCAATTGAGGTAACGTTAACGTTGTTGTCGTTTTTTTCCTTCTCTTGGATCATTTTCAACCCTAGGCTCTTAAAATATTTAATTTATTGTGGAAATAACAGATGAATTGATAATAGAAATACAACTCTCCATGGAGAAGTGCACTTTCTCCAGTGTGCGAAGGTGGATCATTCATTGATATTTATTAAAAGTAATTTTCTCTTCCATTTTTCCAAATTCGCTCGTTTTTTTATAGCTCGAGCTATCGATAGCTGCATGATCGTGTACGATATATCGTGTGTTCTTCTCAGCTTTTTGTCTTTATCTTTAAAAATACAAACATCTGATCAAAGTATAAGATATGTATACATAAAAAACTTTTTTATAATTTCGTACAAACAGTTTGTAACAACTTTTATGTCTTTTATTTGTAATGTGATCACATATGTGATTTAATAAATATTAATTCAAGACAACATATAAAATACATGAAACTATATGGTTGCAGGAAAAAAATTCCATATGAACGTTATATGTACTACGGATATAAATATTGTTCACTTCATTGTTTCCATCGATAATGCATTATTTTCAGCAAGCTGTTGCAAGTATTTTCCTCTGGATCCCCCACATAAGTAATATCTGTTACAAAAAAAAGTATATTATAACTATAGTTATCTATCTATATCTTGATATATTTATATATGATAGTGTAAATGGCTCTAAAATCTCATTAAACGGCGACGATGTTGTTTCGATTGATTCTCAGTCAGCACTTAACGCACTGCGTAATCTTGATTCATATGAGAACTCATCTGATACAATCACAGTATCTACAAATTCGTCGATTTCTGCCACTGGGAATCCAGTCATCATGTGCAAGCAATCAAAAGAGGCAATTGCCCACAAAAATGGTTCATCAAATGCTCCGGAAAAGCTTAACAATAGTTTGCAAAAGAGGATAAACCCATGCACATCAGATGACTGGCCTGGAAATTGGTTGGATGATATTTCGGTCCAAAGCACATCTGGATCTATCACCGATTCAGTGGGCCAGTTTTCTAACGCCAATCAAGCCGAATGTGCGCCTGCTGTAACGGTCGAAAGAGGCTCAACTAGCAAAAATGACTCTAACTATACTGTTCAAGAGCTATATGTCACTAAATTTAGTAACAAAACGACTTGCAAAGACGTGGAAAATTACATAAAATATATGGCGCAAAACGGCGAAATCGAAATCAACTTCAATAAAATTAAAATTATCCGTCTAACCAAAGGAAATCAAGACGTTTCGCTATTATCATTTATTTCTTTCAAAATTGAAACCGACGACGAGACTGCGACACAGCTTTTGGAACCGGGCTTTTGGCCCTTGCAATGTAGCATCAAGAAATTCGTTAACAAAAAGAAACACCAAAATATACAGCCTATTAGACCATCAGTTGCGGATATTGGCCCAGATTATTTTCGGCAAATAAGGGAACTACCGCCCATGAAGTAGGCTCATCCATTCCTACACACAAACGTATGATCTCGCTCAATAAAACTACCACAATGTTCCATGAAAATATGCGTAGTGTCGTGAATGTCAGGAATCAACTTATTAGAAGTTCTAGTCAAACTGATTATGAAGTTATTACTATCACAGAAACATGGCTCAATGACGGCCACAAAAACAGCGAATTCCTGAGCAATAAATATAGAGTTTTCCGAAAGGATCGACACCAGACAAATATCACTGCTAAGAAAGGAGGCGGTGTACTCATAGCGGTTCTCGTAGAGATTGATTGTGAAGAGTATTCGACCACAGAAATGAAAGATCTGGAAGCAATTTGCGTTCGCTTTCCACTCTCCAAAGGAAATCTGTTTGTATATTGTCTCTATATACAACCAGACGCTGGCAATGATATTTATGGTGATCATCTCATTGCAATTGGCTCACTCCAAACGTCAAAGGATGATATTGTAATTATCGCGGGTGACTTTAATCTACCAGGAGTTAAATGGATCGACAATGAAGATGGGTTTGATTTCTTACCTGTGGTCGGAGATTCAGTGAGTGATAAGGCGAATATATCGAGAACAGTCACAAATACTATGATCGAAAAGGGTTTTTTCCAACTAAATAACATCAAAAATAAATCTGAGAATGTGCTGGATTTAGTTTACACCAACGCGCCAGAGTTGACTCTGGTTGATGCCGCAATAAGTCGTCTGATTGAAAGCGAATTAAGTGATAAGGCACATAACCCACTGAGCATAACTATCGAATGTGAACCAAACACTTATTCTCACGAGAATCAGCAAAGCCAAAACTACTGCTTTCGTAAAGCCAATTATGAGGCAATTCACGAAGAGCTGACCTTGATCGATATTGGGTCAGTTCTATCAGCGGATCTGGATATTGACACAATGTTGGATAATTTCTACAAAATCTTGTACGGAACTATAGAAAAGAATGTGCCCAAAGCATCACTCCGAACAAACAACCATCCACCGTGGTTCAACAAAAATCTCATAAACCTAAAAAACATTCGCAACCGTCGATATAGAAAATTGAGTGCAGCTAAGAAGTTAGACCCGAACGCTAATGATACGAAATTCAAAGAAGCTGACAATGAATTTCAAATTCAACATGAATTGGCACACGAAAACTATATACGAGACATTGGCGAAAACTTCAAGTTGAACCCAAAAGAGTTCTGGACATTTGTTAACAACAAGAGGAAATCAAACTCACTACCCTGCAAGTTGGCGTACAATGATAATTCAGCCACTTCGGATCAAGATAAAGCCAACTTATTCGCTGAATTCTTCAGCTCGGTATACATTGAGAGACCGAAGGACGATGATCTGCACAACTTTATCAAAAATCGAAACGAAGTTAACTGTTTTAAGATTCACATAACACCAGAAGTGGTTTGGCATGTTCTAAGCACCATGGAGCTCAATAAGGGACAGGGACCCGATGGATTGTCACCAATTTTTCTGCGGGAATGCGCTGATGTTTTGGCAACCCCTCTGAGTATAATTTTCAACCACTCGATTTCGACGGGCAGGTACCCCGAAATTTTTAAAATTGGACGTATCACACCAATCTTTAAATCCGGGAATAAATCGGATATTGCGAACTACAGAGGCGTTACAATTATGTACAACTTAGCAAAAGTGTTTGAAAAAGTTGTATACAACCAACTAAGAATGATTATTGCACCAAGGCTCTCTAAGCATCAGCATGGATTCGTGTCTAATAGGTGTATTGAAACAAACCTCATGGAATTTACTGCATTTGTACACGATGCTTTCGAAAAGGGATACCAAGTAGATGTGTTTTACGCTGACATTAAAAAGGCGTTTGATACAGTCAGTCAACCCCAATTAATTCGAAAAATGGCGAAATTCCCAATCAGTAATGAGTCACTCCGATGGCTAGATTCATACACATCAAACAGAAAACAGTTTGTTAAAATTGGTTCATCATCGTCAGAATCATTCTTGGCACACTCAGCAGTTGGACAGGGAACCATCTGTGGTCCGTTATTATTTCTAACTTATTTCAACGATTCGGATGATAACAACACAAATATTGGTGTCTTTAATTTCGCTGATGACAAAAAACAGGCAGCTCTTATCAAGTCACATGAAGACACAAAGAAACTGCAACAAGCTATCGATAACTTTGTCGAGTGGTGCGAGGAAAATGGTCTCGAACTGAACATTAAAAAATGCCAAATAATGACATTCTACCGCAAAAGGTCATTCATCAAAGCAGACTATACTATCAAAGGAGAAGCAATAAGTAGAGCTGAAGTGGTGAAGGACCTTGGAGTAATAATGGATCGCAAGCTGAGCTTTGTACCACACATGGAATACGCCAAAAAGAAAGCCGAAACGATGTGGGCTTTCGTCAAAAGAGAGTGCTATAAGTCATTCAATATTGACATAGCGAAAATATTATATGGCTCTCTGGTGCGATCACACCTTGAATTTGCCAGTGTGATATGGAATCCGTCAGAAATAACCCATAGAAAATTCATCGAAGGCGTACAAAAGAATGCAGTAATTTACTTACGCGGAGATAACCTTAACCGCCAAGAAAATAACTATTTACTACCACCCTATGACGAGAGGCGAGCTGAACTAAAACTTGATACTCTGGTTAGGAGAAGAGTCAACGCATCGATACTGTTCATCAAGAAAATAATATCCGGCCAAATGGATTCACCTACATTGAGGAGCAAATTGAATCTTAACACAGGCATTCGTACATTTCGTAACCCAGAATTCATCAGACTTAGGTGCTCATCAACAGAATATGGACTTAATGCCCCTCTAAACTATGCATGCCGGGCATTCAATTTTGCTGCACTATTTATTGACCCGACGTTACCGTTTTTCGAATTTAGAAAAAAGCTACTAAAGCTTCCCGATTCTGCATTTGGTGATCTAACAAGACTGAGAAGTCAATGAATTACAAAACTGATGATATATGAAACTGATCGAATTTAACTATTTATTTCTATTTCTATTTTTATTTTATCTATATTTCCAAGATATTTATTTACCTTTTGTGTAATGGAAACAATTATATTCTATTTTATATTGAACTGAAATGAACTGATCCATGCTAACTCAGCTGTTATGTAAAACTGTTTTTTCAAATGGAAAATTCTCTTTATACTGTAAAAACTTGTAAAAACTTTTGTGAACCTGAATCGTCAGCTTATTTGAGCAGACGCTAAAATGAATAAATAATAATAATATGAAATAATTATTTTTTCCACTAAATTGAATATATTTGTTAATTACTGTGAAAAAAGGTTTGAGCTGGCAAAACGTTGTTGATATCTGTTGTCTTTGTGAGTGATGCTTTGATTTAGCATAGCATTTCAAATTGATCAATTCGAATTTATTTCAATATATTGAATGTACACTACCGTGCAAAAGTTTGGAACCACTAGGTATTTTTCATACAAATTGACCATTTTTGGTGGACTCATTAACATATTTCGGAAACACCTGCACTCTTGATATTTTGTGCATAGTTTCTACAACGTTTCAATAGTAAATCACAGAGATTTCATCAAAAAATATTCATGAATTTCAAAAATATAGCAATTTGAAT